GCGGCGGCGACGTATGAGTTATTTACTGGACCGGTGGCAGAAACGGTGGCTGGTTTTTGGATATTGTATTGATACCTGGGTGCTGGACCGCCGAATCGCTGTCTGTAGTCTTGTCGACCCTGGTCTGGAACGGCATACTGTTGTTTGTATACCTGTTGAGCTGGAGCACTGAATCGCTGTGTGTATTCATGTGGTATCTGAGCTTTGGCCACGAACTGCTGTTTAAGTTCTTTTTGAGCTTGGATAAGTGCGGCGAATTGTTGTTTGAACTCCAATTGAGCTTGTGCAAGGTCGGCAAACTGTTGTTTGTACTCTTTTTGAGCTTCGACAAGGGCGGAAAACTGTTGATTATACTCCTGTTGGGCCTGAGCAAGCACGCTGGACTGTTGTTTCAATTCTTGTTGAGCCTTTACTGGGGCATCCAACTGTTGATTAAGTTCTTGTTGAGCCTCTTGAAGAGCGGCGAACTGTTGTTTATAATCATTTTGAGCTTGTGCGAGGGCCGAAAATTGTTGGTTAAACTCTTGTTGAGTCTGCGCAAGCACGCTAGACTGTTGTTTCAATTCTTGTTGAGCCTTAAGTGGTGCAGCAAACTGTTGATTAAGTTCTTGTTGAGCCTGGCTAAGTGCGGCGAACTGTTGTTTGTACTCACGTTGAGCCTGTTCAAGAGCAGCGAACCGTTGTTTGTATTCTTCTTGAGCTTTAGCAAGGGAAGCCAAATGATGATGTCTGTACTCTTGGTGATGTCTGTACTCTTGTTGAGCCTGAGCGTTGATGGCAGAGATGTCTTGTTGAGTTTGAGTTGGGGCGGTGTACTGTTGTTTGTAGTCTGGTTGAACCTGAGGAGAGATGGTGGCTGGGATGACTGATTGTAAGGCGGTTGAGTACGATTCCTTTGTAATGAATTCAGGTTCGGCTGACTGTTGAATGGCTGGCTCGTAATACTGTTGATTATCCTGGTTGCCACTGTAAGAGTTAGGCGTATCGATTAAGTACTGCACTCCACTGTTTTCAAACGGTGTTTGGTATGATTGAGCTAAATTTTGTTGTTGTACAGCATCTTGGTAAGGCTGTGACTGTCGAGGGACTTCCAAGTTTGAAGACGATAGTTTATTAGGTTAATTTCCGATGTCCTCGAATTTAGTCTGTGACGGTTGGACAGCTGCTGGCAACCCCTGGAAGGGCCCTTCCGGTATGGTGGACGGAAAGTATTGTGACGGTAAACCAGCGCTTAGTTGTTGTTGTTGACACAAGCTCATACCGGTGACAGCGAGCACTATAAGCCCGATGGAGAACATCTGTCGGTGGAAGGGAATATAAGTATTTTTGAACGTAAATATTTAAGTAAAAATTTATTTTTGAACACTTACCTTGTATGCCATTTTTGGTGGTTTTTATAAGTCTCCTGTGTACTGGGTATGAAGTGCGTATGATCTGTGAAGCTCGATCGAAGACGACTGATACATTTTACGAACATCAAAAGGGTTTATATATGTTCGTACTTCACGGTAATATCATTGTGAGTCTAATCGGGGGGACCTAATCGATAATTAACAGTTTTTGTTAATGAGATACAGACAGTAAATATATGGAGACATGTTCCTACTGCTCATTTTAATAATATATTAATATTGGCATATTGCTACATAGAATTGTCGTACAATCCGATTTTCAACTATATATTATTTGTTTTAGAACCTTGTCTGCCGGCAAAAGTAGCATATAAACATAAATTAAATGGTGTAATAATAGTGATGTGCCGATTGCATTCTATAACTTTTATGATAGACATACAAAACATCTGCATACGTTTTGAATATGTTTGAAACTTTAAATTTGAATTGTTATTCCTAGGCGTGTTTTAGAACATTTTATTTTATTAATCAGTGTCCAATATGAATATTTTTTATTGTTTCACATTTTTATATTTTGGTTTGATTCTTGTTTAAAGTAAAGTCATTAATTATTATAATTTATTAAAAAAAAAATAACCAAAACTTAGATTTTTATAATATTTTTTTATTACATACCTATTTAATTTTAAATATTTATTAACAAAATGATATGTCCGTTATTTTTTCAAATAATCAACATCATATTTTTAAATGTAAAAAAATATATTTAGATTATAAAATACTGGTAATTTTTCATGAAAAAAATTTTCATTTTAAATTAAAAAACTAATTCTATTGACAATCTTTATAATAATAAACTTAGTATCTTTATTATTTATACTTCATATTAAAATATTTATTGTAACTTTTTAAACAATATAAATTTATAATACCTAATTATTTGTTTCTATGTGTAGATTTTTCATTATAGTACGTTCTTGTAAATAATTTATAAAATTAGTTTTAAATTATATTAAATTTAACACAATTCCTATAAATAATTATACAGACCACATTATAGTGATTTGCGTTAGAAGACACCGATTGTTTATTTAGTTATATTTTATTTGCAATATAATAATTAGAATTTATAGAACATTATTTGAAGTATCTGTTAATAAAATATTTTATGAATTATTTATTTGCTACTATAGGTAATGTACCTATAGTTAAACTTATTTGATATCCAATGGCTTGAATACGAAATTCATTTATCATTTTAAACCATATTTATAGAAATTATTGATTCAATCAAGTCTATAAATGTATGTCCTTATGAAACTTTTTAAAAAACACACCATAAGAAGTTAAACAAAATTGACTTTTACTTTAACATTATTATAATTTAATATTTAATATACATGTGCCTACGTTAACTAAGTACATAATTTAAATACTTTCAAGTTTAATTAAAAACAATTTGTGAAGTCATTCTTTTGTAAAGAAAATTTAGAGTGCACTTTTGTATTGGTTAGGTCGGGATTCTGAAAATATTTGTCACTTTAATACTTAAGTTTTTTTATTATATATTTATATTTCAATTATTAATTAATTTTCTAATAGTATACCTACGGTCGACTAAACTAATTTTTGCCAAAAACAAATTGCATACATTATAAAAAAAATATTTTAAACTTATTTCATGTACTACTGGCTGTTATTACGTACCTATAAGTCAATATACGTAAGTACCGTAGGATGGTAAGAATAGCTTCGTAGCCTTCGTTGTATAAATATTAATAGCTATGAAAATGAATCTAAATATTTTTTAAATGTCATTGTGTATGGTGAAAAATAATAAACGTTATAACAAAAAGTTGTAGGCCCCTGCTAATAGTATTTTTTGAATAATTTAAAAATATTACGACAACACAGCTATAAGTTAAATTTTTTAAAAGATGCCCATTAAAATTTCAACATTCATTGCCTAGTATAATTTTTTATCAACATTCTTTGAAAACAAATTAAAATTTCAATGAATAAATACCTAAAAATTAGTCTAATGATAAATAATATAATGTTTCCAGTTTCTATGAGTAATATATTTTGAATAATGACAATATAACAAAAGAGGTTTAAGTTGAAATCGTTATTTTACGTAAGAATATTCAATGAAGTCGAAATTTGAATTTGAATTCCTCATAAATACTGTGTGAATATATACGATATACATAACATAAACGAGACATTTCATAATATATATATTTTAAAAAAAGTCAACAATTTTGAATACCTATAAACTATAAATAGCAAAAAATTATTTTTTAATTTGTATAACTTGTCTAAATAATGATAATATACAAATTTGGTGAAAAATACAACTACTACAATTTATTATTTTTTGAATTACTAAAATAAAACAAAATTGATTTTGTTTAAAATTTCCTGTTTTCCTTAATGGTTTTTTCCCCGACTATTGTAGTAATTACTAAGAATTTTTATTTTTTATTCCCCAAAGCAATAACTCGATACAATTTTTTACCAGAACCACGCTCAGAGTTGTTGATTGAAGCAGTTTCTACTACTGGAAAAATAGTGTCTTCGAACTAAATAAAAATCCACATAAGTATTATTGTAAAGCTAATACATTCATCTACCTCTATCATACCTAAAACAAAACATATTAAAAATTGAAAATTGCTACTTTTTTTTCTACTAGTATCAACTCTTCAATATCAATGTTGTACCATGGTTATAAGAGTTAAGAGTTCAATATGCTAGTATAGGGTTATTTAAATCTCTTAAATTATTGTCATTCGATTAAAATGTTTTCATCAACATTTTATTTATATAAAGTGGTGATCCAGTAATTGTTTAATAAATTATACAAGGTAATAAAAAATTAGGTTAAATCAATAATATGTAATCACATAGGTATTCAAAAATCGCAACCAAAATATTGTATTTTGAATACTTCACTGAATATTTGAAATAAAATGTACTTGAAAAAGTATTTGATACTAAAAAGTATTTTAATGTCAGTACTCAAATGCCTACGTTTACTCTAATATTTTACAGCACTGCAAATATTAGTGAAATCACAGTTAATTTAAAATTCAAATTAACTGGATATTATACTAAAATGTTTAATAGTTCCTATACTATAAAAGGTGAAATTGAAAAAAAATAGCAATTTTATAATCAATGATATAATTGATTAAAAATAAAAATAAATAATCGTAAAAATAACTCTGTTATACCTGATGTATATTATGTAATTAATTATATTTCAAAGAAATATAACTATTAAATGTTATAACATCAAATATGCAAAACATCAACGTACACTGACTACACTACTATACTGATCAGGTATTATTATCGTTAAATAGTAAAAAATATATGATAATAATATTATCATTACATATTTTTTAATGTTAGTTATTTATAACTCGTTGTATTTTTATTATTATTATAATATTATATACAAGAATCGTTTTTAATGTTGGCCGAATAAAACATTTATAATGTGATTTTTTATCTCGAACATGTCATACATGAACGATTATACTATAAGAGTTGCTGAAGACTGTCTGATGGGATTAAACGCTTTCTAGAATCATTATGTGGATTGGACATAATATGTAGGTTTATTAAAAACAAGTATTTTTAATGGTCTGAAAATTTAAGTGTTTTCACATTTATTCTTAACCAAAGTAATGATAATAATAATACAAATAATTACATTTTTTATTTTTTAGGGACATACGCGTTGCTACACACTGCAGCGCTAAGTTGGCATCGGCATGCTAAAGTGTGCAGAAACATCCCAGGAAATAAATATCCTATAATATCTGTGCTGCAACGCACTAGTAGTTCTTAACGACGGTAATAATAATAATAATAATAATAATAATAGTGATATCTAATAACGCTTAGTGTGCGTATATACAATCGATGGCACTACACACAATAATATCATAATGATGCACCTGCCACGGCCCCTCATCGGAGATGCACTTGAGGCGTCTAAGCTGAGTATCTGAGTGTGCTGTAAGCGGCACCGGGTTGTTGTTGTGGTGAGGATTCGAACTTGTAAGCGAACTGTTCCTTCGTTAATGGGATGGGCGTGGTAGATTTCACTCCGGACGAGAATTGGCTCTTGGCTGACTGTTGGACGCGTGGCTGTTCGGTGGCGGCCACTGTGTAGTAGTATTGGGGTTGTTGTTGTTGTTGTTGGTACTGTTGCGGTAATGCATTGTACTGGTATTGTGGTTGGGCGGCGGCGGTGACTGTCGGGGCTTTGAACTGGACGGCGGTGGTAGCTGGGTGACGAGTAACGTACGAGTAATCTGCAGGGCCGTTGGCGGCGGGGGCGGCTGGCTGTTGGACGTATTGGTATGCGGGGGATGGCACTACGTATTGTTGTTGTTGTTGCTTGTATTCCTGTTGAGCTTGAGCTAGAGCGTTGAACTGTTGTTGTTTGTACTCTTGTTGGGCTTGAGCAGGGGCAACGAATTGTTGTTTATATTCTTGTTGAACTTGTGCAGGGGCGGAAAATTGTTGTTTATATTCTTGTGGAACTTGAGCTGGGGCGGAAAATTGTTGTTGCTTGTATTCTTGTTGAGCTTGAGCAGGGGCGGAAAATTGTTGTTGTTTGTATTCCTGTTGAGCTTGAGCAGGAGCGGCCACCGGGGAAGATTGTTTGGTCACGTATTGAGGAACAGCCGATGGTTGGGCAGCTGGCACGTAGTATTGTTGGTAAAACTGGTTACCCGGGTAAGAGTTGGGGCTGACGATAGAGTACTGTACACCGTTGTAGTCGAAAGCCATTTGGTAAGGTTGGGCCAAGTACTGTTGTTGTTGGGCTTGGTACGGTTGCATGAAGAACTGTTGTTGTAGCCCCTGGTAAGGCTGCACGAAGTATTGTTGTTGCGGGATTGTTTGGTAAGACTGTGGTGGTTGTTGTTGTTGTTGAGGGACTGAAGGAGTCACTGACGATGGTTTGTTGGATGGCTGTTGGGTTTTCTGTCCGTAAGCAGCTACTAAAGTGTCACGTTCGATGTCTTCCAGTTTAGTTTGTGGCTGTTGGACGGCGGCGGACTGGTATTGGGACGGTGAGCTGGAAGTCGATTGTTGTTGACACAAGCACATACCAGCGAATGCGAGCACTAGCCCGGCGGAGAACATCTGTTGTTATTGGGAGAGAAGTGCATAAATATTTTTGAACCTCAAAATTAAAAATAAGTGTGTGTGTATTTTTTTGTTTTTAACTTACCTTGTATGCCATTTTTGATTATGTTTAAGTCTCGTGTGTGTTCTTGTGTTATGTGAAGCTTTGATCAAACACGACTGATACGTTTGACGATCGCCGATAGCGGTTATATACGTACGAACTTGACGGAAATATCGCATGTGTTAGTTCCGATCGCCCGCTTGGTGGGATCGAATTAACGGTAACCAGTTGATAATGTGGCGCCGTCGCGTGCCCAAATACGTAGGTACAACTGGTCCAAGGTATGGGTACTGCAGCGGATGGATGGGTAACGTGAATACGTTTCCGGTTGTTATGTTTGGATTACAATATTGATTATTATTATCTCACCGAACCAATGGCCGTTCCAGTTTTACTTTCATATTATTTTTATTACAATATTGTCTCGTACAGTAGTATAACAGCATCATCTGTAGACGTCGTCGACGGACTGTCTACCGGGTAAAGTATGTTCGGCATCTCATACGGTCAGTTTGAATATTAACAACATGCAACACACGCGTGGTTATGATTTAAAAATTATAGTTTTTTCTGGGTGCATTTGTGGTAAGATTTTATTCGATATTAACATACTTATACACTGTCATCCATATTCAATTTTATTGTTATCTATTTAAAAATATTAATTATTATTAAATAATAACGTTAATTATCATTAAATCAAAATAATTAAAGATTGAATTTTATGGACCATGCATGATGGACATGCACTAATTTAAAACATTTTATTTTATTTTTACATTCATTACTTTACAATTAACATTTTACAGTCATAAGCTTAAATTAAGGTACAATAAGATAATATATTTTACTAAATAGGTACTGATGATTTTATATCACCACATTTTTTTTATTTTTAAACATTGACAATATTTTATGGTATGATTTCCCATATTATAGTATTAAACACACTTATATTATATTATATTATATCCCATGGGTGTATCGTATATAATATAATTATTAATTACATTCCATTTTACATTTCCTATTTATTAATCACATTTATACACAACTACCAATTAGTAATTAATTGTATGTGATTATATAGTAGGTACCTATATAGAAAAAACATTGTCAAATATGAATTTTAAACATGTGTGCATTTTAATGTGAATACCTTTTTTTAAATTAAACATTTTTTTTTAATTTTAACAAAAGTATATTTACAATCTGTAATATTTACACACAATAAGTAAATTTGGTGAACTGAACTAAGATTGTACACGTGAGATTACGAGATTACTTGGGGAGGTAGGCCTGGTAGGCCCCTCAGTGTGGAAAAAATTAGACTTGGGGGAAATGAGAATACCTATACATTTACTTAAATTAGTATATATTATTTTTATATATTTTATTCATAATTATTGTACATTTACACATAATAAAATAATTGTGTATGATAAATTCGAAAATAATTCTAGTAAATACAATATTATATCTATAAATATTTGTAACATTTTCCACGATTTCTTCATTTAAAAATTATGATAATTTTTCATTATTTTGTAATATAATTATGGTTAAGATATAACAACTTATAAAAATGTCAAATACAGCTAAATATAGTTTAGATTTTAATTGATTGATTTGTATTTTTTAATTTTTTAAAAATAATAACAAACTCAGTTAAGTTTATAATATGAAACCCAAAATGAAGTACAAAAATAGATCATAAAAATAATCAATAGGTACGCATTTTAATTTTTTAATTTACCCAAGTAATTTATTATTTCAATATAATTTCTTGTTCTAACTTAGTTATTTTTAGGATCGTAAGTTCATAAATGTTTATCACAATTGCATTATATCTTAAATCTTATTAGTTAATAGAATCTACATACGTGACGAGGAAAATATATACGTATTTCTTATTTATTGTGTATTAAACTTAAAATTGTGTAAAATATCATTAAATAGATCTTATATTACATATAATGTATACTGCGTATTTTGTTATCCAGTAAATTATAAAGATCTAGCTATCACGATCTAGGTATTACCTTTGATTATATATAGTAGTATATATAATCAATGGTATTACGCTTACGCATCTAACAAAAAGTGAAACAAACCACTTAGATAATGAAAATGAAAATTCGATAATTAATTAAATGGATTAATATAATTATTGCTTTAATTTTTTCCCCCAAATTTATCTAATTTATATAATGATTTAGAAAATATGAAATCGAATACCTACAAGGCTACAACAGTTTTAAACTTAATTAATATTATTTAATAAAGAAAATAAATAATCAATTAATATTGTATATTATATTAGTAATAATAACACCATGATGAGTTATCAAAGTAACTTCACAAATATGAAGAAAAAACGTTAAGTACCTATTAAGGTGGATAAATATATATTATATATCCACCTTGGTACCTATCTAGTTATTATCTAACTAAATTTGATTATTCTTGTTGCTAGGTACTTCTTAATATATTGGTACGAAATAAATAGTTTTGACCTATTGTTTAGAATTATTGTATTACATTATGGTAGTTGGTTGAGAATCTGAGATACTGTAAGCACATTATGTAAAACTACTATAAGAATTGTTTTATGAATAATCTAAGAAGTTCAAAATAAACAAAATAATAATACTATGTGTTATCACTAATTCGTTTTGTTTATAAACGTCACTTATATTATATTACATACATGATAAACTTAATGCATACCTACTTGCCTAGAAATATAAAACAAACATGTAATTCGAATTTACTTCTAATTAAATTGCAGAATTATTATAATGAGTATATTATATAAAAGTGTCATCAATGACTATCCTAAAAAATAACTATTATCTAATGTAATCTAGTTTATAGTAACATCTAACATCAGATATTAGTACCTACTTAAAATCTCTATAGCCTGTAAATCTATATCTTAAGATACAGTTAAAATACATAATAATATTGTATATGTTTAATAAAAAGTTACAATCCATATAATGGTTATCATATCAATAAGTAACATCATTATATCATAGCTTTGTAGTGTTGCAGACAATTGTCTTACCGAGAAAATACTATACGTAGTACATTATATTATTCTACTAAAATTGTGTTCATATTAGCTCAATTTTATTTGTAAAAACTACAAAAAAAAAAAAATTAGAATAAAAGAATAAAATATATTTTTATTGCATAGAAGTGTTGAACATGAGTACCTATGTAACGATTAGATTCTTACAATTGTATAGGTATTTAATGATTTAAAATTTTAAACACAAATGTCATTATGCAATACTAATAATATAAATTAACTCTTAAACTCTATACATATTATGACACAAACTTATTATTGTATCATTTACCATCAGAATTTGACAAATTGAGTAAACCAAAAAAGGGAATTGACGTTAAGCTTATATCAGTTTAACAGTCTACACTCTACTTAGTTATGGAAATCATTTTACAAGCAAATCTGCTTTCTCCATCTGTCACAAGTCATAACCATCATTGGCGTCACTGAAACTAATATATTGGATTTGTGGCTAACGGTATTGTGTAATACGAAGAACGTCAGCTACGTGTAGCAGCTGTATAGCTGTATTGATATAGTGTCGTTTCCTTATAAGGGGCCACGTGTTAGAGTTATTTCAAATAAATGGTATCTGCGCCAATATTGTCTCACTAAGAGAAATTATATGAATTCTGTACCGTCATAACACATCATATAAGTATTATTATTTAACTATTTAATGTACAATATAATATTATTCATGGTTTTCTAGGAAATTCTGGGTGTTGTTTAATAATATAATATATTTTATACTCGCAATATAATACACAATATAGTTATCATTTATTAATATATTATTATTTTAATAAATTTTAATACACACAAATTGATTCTGAAAACATGAATTCTTTGATCAGTAGAAAACTAGAAAAAAGATAACGAGGTACAGTAATTTCGAAAGTAATAATTATTGTTGATTCTATTAAGTTATATAATATAGTCCTCCTAAATCTGGAAAATATTTACGATATATACATAATCATAGTTTAAAGGTCTGTATAATTTTAACGTATGTCTATACCCACAATTCACAAATAATTATATTTAGGTACTTCTAATTGAAAACATCATGTTAATTATAATTCAACCATCAGGAAATTATTACCCATGTATACAAATATATATTATATATATTTGAACTAAGTGAACAACTTGTAAGAACCAGTTACAGTCGTAAACGGATTGGTATTTGAACAATGTACCTACTTGCATATTATGAATTTAATGCTTACATAAACATTTTAATAATACATTAGCAGCTTTTACTTTAAGTGAACTTTAAAAACGAGTTTTTTTATGCAAAAATAAGTACATTTGCCACCTTTCAAAACCACTGTTCCTAATTTAAACACACATTTATACTACCTACTTGCTAAAACGGTAAGTAAACGAAGTTCAAATACCTTGTCCAAATCATCTTAGTAAATATATTATTCAATATAATTTAATCACTTTTATATTGAAAAATAATTTATTTTAGAACATGATTATATAAAAATGTTGTCTAAAACACCATCAAAAGGAAATATTTTAAAACTGACCAAGGATGACTTGAACATTATAAATCATTTTCCATACACTGTTTTTAATTTACCGTTTTAAATATTTTCTAAATAAAATTAACTGATGTAGGAAAATACGGTGGGTCTAAAAATAATAGTAATATAAAATATTATAAATATATTTACATTATATTCATGCTATAAATTATAACACATTTTATAACAATAGTCTAATATTCATATAGTGAACCAATATTTCGATAACACTGTAGAAAGTAACTCATACACTAATTACTATATTAATATGCAAATAATTAACTACACAATACATTAAAAACCAAATAGTGATAAATGATCAGTAATGTTTGATATTAATTGCGAATTTTAATGGTTCCACATTTTTAAGTGAAAAAAAATTACCCAGGTAATTACAGTGATTACTGATATCAGTGTTAAGTTTTGAGCTGTTATATCAACGAACTATTTTTAAAATACCTAGGATTAAATTAAAACCATTAAGACCAATAATATTGTATACAATTACTGACAAAAAAAAAGAAACATATTTAAAATATTAAAAAGTATG